TTGTTGTTAATGTTCTCTTTTCAGTGTTCATGTATCATATGCTGGTGGGTTTCTATGTTTGTCTTGCAGATTGGGCATGTTGCCATTTTGTATAGGTCAGGTCTGTGTTCTGCTAATTTATTGAGAGTTGGAAGTTCTTTGTTAAGCATTTTGTATCGAAAGTTTCTATTCATGTAATCTTGTTTGTCTGTTCTGTTACTTGTGATTGGTGTTGGTTGTTGTGTCTCATGTGTTATTCTTCAGTCTATTTTCTTTTCCCTGCCATCTATTCATGCCATGTGTCTGTTTTGACTTAGCCATCTTGCTAGCCATTATATGCTTTGTTGTCTTTTTATGAAACTGTTGATATTTATATCTAAAGTTGTATCTCTCCATGTAATGTTGTAGTATATGTTGTCTGTTGCCTGACTTATCTTTATTTCTTGTTTTTCTCTTTTTTGTGCTTTTTTTTTCGCCAGTTTATCTGCTGTTTTGTTTTCTTTGACTCCTGTATGTGCTTTTACTTTGATTAGATTTGTGATCCCTGTTCTTTTTTTTATTGCCTCTTTTATGTGCCTGATTGTAATCCAGTTGGATATATGTGTTATGGTTTTGTTTCCTTTTTTTTCTCCTGTAATGTTTTGTATAGCTGCTTTACTGTCTGTATATATGTTTACTTCTGCATGGATTGGTATACTTTACACCTATGAGATATTGGCTTTTTCATTTATATACAGTATATCTTGTTGTATATGAATAAATATAAAATAATGTTTTTTTACTCTAAAAAAACATATATTTAAAATACAATTAATTTTGTTGCTCTGATTAAGAAATTTGTTAATGCTCCAAAATAATTCTTGCATATACTGTATACTAATAGTTGCATACTAAGAGATAACAATTAGAGTTTATTTTTGATAAATATTTCACCTTGGCCAGTATTACTTGCTAATTTTATTTATCAACAATTCTGAAATTCTTATTATTGATATTTCTGTGATCATGTAATTTAAGAATTACAAGTGTTTAATACAGTGTTTAATACAGTTTCATGTTTTCTCTTGGATTCACTTTTTTACCCATAAAAATAGAAAAGGTTACAATGTTTACATTTAAAATCATTGAAAATTCAAATGATATATAATAATATAATACTTTATATTGATAAAGGTTATGTAATAAATAAACAAAGCTTACTATTTCAGACTAATTATTGAAACTTAATGCAAGCACCATTGCTTCACCGAAAGTTATGATGAATCTATATTACGAAATAAACTTTTACAGAATTATATTGATTAGAGTAAATGTATTATTACTCAACTCACGAGCTCGTTCATTAAAATAATGCTTAATAGTTAAAGAGAATTATTGGAGTCGATTATTTATATAAGACTCGCACATGCTCTTAATAGTACAGTAGCACGTGTGATTATGAATTCTAGTTTACCTATTCATTGAAAAACACATACAATAATTATGATGGCACCGAAATTCAAAGATTTAATATAGGAACCTATTTTACGAGGAAATAAGAATTCAGCCGAAAAATACTTGATCATTCTAATTGAAAAAACCACGGTACATAACCGATTAGATAAGTGATTGTTGAAATTACAAATACGATGTAGCTTATACTCACTTTCTAATAGTTTGATAAGATGGGTAAATATTAGCTATGGTTACTAATACGATACGATGAAACTTATACTCACGAACTACAGTAATATTTTGATAAAATCAAATTGATTAGAAAGTCCATTGGAAAATGATTTAAATAAAAAGCAAACAAAGCATAAAAAAGATTAAAGAAATGTTTCGAGATGACAAATATATAATGAAACTTATACTCACGGGCTAATGATTTAATAAAATAAATGAATTATAAAATCGATTAGAGAAATATCAAGATAACAATGTACAATAAAAATTTGTACTCACGGGCTAATGATTTAATAAAATGAATAAATTGTAAAATAGATTAGGAAAATGGTTAAGATAACGATTCTACTGTATAATAAAACTTATACTCACGGGCTAATGATTTTAATAAAATCGTGAATTATAAAATCGATTAGAGAAATGGTTGTTAGGATAACAGGTATAATGATACTTATACTCACGGTCTAATTGTTTGATAAAAACAAATAAATAATAAAGTATAAAGATAAATGGTTTTAAACACAACAAACGCATACTTACACCCTAATAGTTTGATAAACAAATGAATCGTAATACAATTGGAGAAATATTTGTCGAAATAATAAACATCATAAGTATACAGTATACTCACATCCTGATAGTTAATAAAATAATTAGAGAAACGCCGAAAATTATGAGATGCTTATTATGAAAACAAAACATAAAAATGTATACTTACGACCTAAATCGTTTAATAGAATTAATGATTACACATCTATTAGACAAATTTTACTAAGAAACTATACTTACCTCCTAATAGTTTGGTAAAAATAAATGAATCATAAAGTTGATTAGAGAAATGATTGTAAGATAAAATAACATAATGAAATTCATACTCACATCCTAATAGTCAATGAAATAAATAAATAAATTATAGATTCGACCTGCGAAATGTTAAGTAAATAAATATAATAAAGCTTATGCTTACGTACTAGAGTTTAATAGAAGAGGTTAATTTTAAAAAGATTATAAAAATTTATATTAAGAAACCAAATATAAAAAACCTATACTCACTATCTAATGGTTTATAAACCAAATTCATTATAAACACTGTATATTAAAGATTTTTTAGATAACAAATATAATGAAACTTATACTGTACTCACGTTCTAATAGTTTGGGGACATAAATAAATCATAAATCTATTAGATAAATGTTTTTAACATGGCAAATATAATAAAGCATACTCACAGCCTAATAGTTTAATAAAAGCGCATCATAAGATCGATCGATGAAATATATTTAAGAAAAGATGAGAATTCAATAAAATAAATCATGACACCAAAATAATGGAATTATACTTACAGCCTATTTAATAAAACGAGTAAAATCTCAAAATCGGTTAGAGAACATTTTAATGAAAACAAAATAACGAAATTCATCAACCAACTAAAATATATAAAATTTAAAATCGATTAGGGAAATACAGTATTTTTAAGGAAAGCATACAGTATGTAAACACACTCACCCGCTAATGGTTTGAAAATAGTAAAATTTAGTTAATAAGAAAACAAACTTCTTTTTTTATCATTATAGTAAAAATAAATAACAGAAATTCCTACTCACGTTCTGATAATTTAATTAACAAATAATATTGATTAAAACAGATCAATTGATCAAAGTAATTTAAGGGGGAATATACAGTATCAATTTAATACAGACCTCCTGATATTTCAAATATGTATATATGATAATATTGAATAATAAATAAAAGTTAACGTTTTTTTTCAATAATATTGCTTAGAGAAGATAACAGAAAACTTGTATGAATAAATTAACGATGATAAATATTTACTTTTATTATTTACAGGATTTGCATATCCTATTATGGATTAATATATTTTTTAATAATGGTATGACTCAAATTAAGAAGTTTATAAGAATAAAATGGACATTGAACAAAACTTACTTTTCATCTCTTTGGGATTTGCAATTGCTACAGAGGATAGAGTAGCGATAACTAAGGCAATCAAAAGTTTGACGTTCATTTCAGAAAATGTTTCTTCCTTTGTTGAGTCTATGAAGTTAATGATTTCCAACGATTTTTAGTTATTAAGAAAATAAATGACAACCTGAAATAGAGTACAAATTTTTTTAAGAAAAAATCAATAAAGATTTTGTTTCGAGGATTTATATACTGTATATAAGTCGAAAAAAAAAACTCCCGATTCAGCATCAAAAGCCATATTTAAGTGTTCAATTAATATCAATTATAATCATAATAGGAATAATTATATATAAAAATCTAACCGTACATTTTACGCAGAAAAGATTAACAAATAACAACATTAGTATGAATAACGTACACTGTAAAGCTGATATTTCAATTATATATTGTATATACCTAACATAATAATTTTTCTTGGAATTACATCAATAATTATGGTGCGTATTTTTATTTGTGGGACAGAATTTCTTGCGATATTTGTACTGCATGGTGCAATGCACTTTATGAATGAATAGCTTCTGTTGTAATTTCACTTATCATTTTCTATGTGGAGCTTTCACTTTTAACTTGGTAGTTTATGCATTCATGATGGTTTAATTTTATCTTCCGAGTAAAAACAATGCATTATGTGTTAGTGTAGCAATGTGACAGGAGACGGGAACAAGGTTCGGACATTATCATCACGCTTGAGAACATCTAATTAAATTTTGAATAAAAAATCATATTAAAGCATTATGATTAACGACTATCGTTTTCAATACGTACTTAGGATGCGGGCGTGTACGCAATTTCCATTTTGTCTTAATCCTTTAAGCCTTTCGATAATAAATCAATACAGTACCTAACCTTCATGGTGCAAGTTGTACGCAGCCATTCCTCTATGTGGTTTACACAGCCATCATTTATCCTTTTGACGGTGTGGGATTTACACAACCTCGTCTTATCGAGAAAGGAAACTGCAGTACTGTATATAGTACTATAGTATGAAAATCAGGAAAACAAGCACAATTTTTTTCCGTTACCTTATTTACTGATCGATCTACTGCATACAGTAATCTAATTTTTAAATGCGTATACAGTAAGTACTGTACTGACATCGCGAATATTTATTAACAACGTATTATTAATATTCGGGAATTCGTAGCTTACTGTATATTATTAAAAAACGTCGATATTTTTTTCCGATAAATAAATATTGAAGCTTTTATAGTTCAAACTTAATACAAAGCGATTGTTAAGTCTCAACACGCCTTAGCATTTGTATGGCTATTTTAAAACATGTGATGACATGTAATTATTTTCGCTCGGAATTATTTTACTTGCTGAAAAAAATTCCAAGAAAAGTTCCTGCGTTATCTATAGCACTACAATGACTCCTGATGGGGCTTACATCGCCGATGACGATATTCATACAGCAAGGCTTATACTCTATGTTTAATGCTACGTTATTGTATTTCGGTGGCAGGGCTCTCACCACTGTGATTCACTTAATTACGTGTTCGTAGTGACGTTCCATGCCCGTAGGATATACACAAAGAAAAGGGCGTGGATTTGGACGTTAAACGAAACACGTCTGTATTGCATTCTTAAAAAACAACTTTATAAAGTAGAAGCAATTAATATGTAATTGAGTTTAAACAAAGAAATCTTTTTGAAAAAACGTTTTTAATCCAAAAGGTACAGGCGAATTGATATTTTTTAGTGCAATCCGTATTTTAATACCATAATTTGGATTTTTTTTAAATGGAACTTGAATTTATTTCTGGCATGCAAAATTCTAAATATTATACACTCATATTTTGCTAAACCGAATGCACAAAGAAGATTAAAATTATAGGAAAAACATAAGCATTAAAATGAAATTTAGTTGAGATACAAAGATTACAATCAAAATAAAGAATAGAATATTGTAACACAGAAAAGAGTGATGCGACTTATGCTGAATTTCAGGTTTCTCCACGATATTGGGAAGAAAGACTGCAGTAGTAAGTACAATGAGTGCGATAGAAACAAGCACGAGCTTGGAAAAAGGGAGAAGAAAGAAGAATCACGACACAATCGCAATAGCTCCACGTGACTGGGTTATGCGAGGATCGAACATGGCACTATGAGGTCAATTAATGGAATTATGTAATAGAAAGTGTGAAAATCAAATAACAAATGTTTCGTCATAAGATTTTTCATAGTTTTACTTAATTTGTAATTATCATTTTTATTATGTAATGAAGTTGTAAAAATGTATAAAAGAAAAGAGAGCATTAAATAAAGGAAGACAAGTTATCATCTCTCGGCCATAATCAATTCCGCCTCACCATAAACACTTACTATCGTTACGCGAATTTAACTTCCCATTAGCGACAGACTCGCCGATCACCGTTACAATATATAAATTTTTATTTAATTTATAGTAATCAAGACGCAACTTTGCGAAATTTCTTGCACACCTCGATGTATGCATATTTGTATTAATGTAAGTGATTCAATTGAAATCGCACCTGCGCAGGTGTGGTGAAGATATTGCGTGAGTAGCACTAAAACTCTGCTTGCGATGGCTGTGTAAGTCCATGCCATGAATGGCCACAGTATAAACTAACCATAAAGGCTTAGTATGACCGCGTAGATTCTTTCGGTAGTATCAATTTATGGCGACTCTACATGAGAGCAATAAAATATGGTCGCTAAAGGCTATTATTTTCATAATGTTTTAATGAATAACTGCATTGTTTATTTGATATTTTAATGATCTGATCTGATCTGGATCGTGATGCTTAGGCCCTATCTATGTTCCAGCCTTCTGCCCCGCCACATTAATGCCACGATAATCTTTGCTTTGCTGTTCATTACGGCGGTGTAGGTCACATTACGTAAAATAATGACAAAGTATATCCATCTCAGTACAAGCCACACCACGTGGAAGACTTCTGTGTCGTCACAGCGGGTCGGTCGCTACTCTAGACTAACTCTTCGCGTGACGATAATCCGAAACATTGGATTACGCCGCTTGATAAAGGCAGGGCCTTAACTCTGAGGCGTGTTACGATTTGGCCGTTCTTCTCGCACTTGTCAAATGATTATAGACCATTCCGTGGTCCTTTCCTCTAATCGCATCCATAAAAAAGTGCCTTTACACTGGGCAAATAGTAACTATTGTTTCAAGTATCAGTATTATTTATTATTTATCATGCAATTCCAAGTTTCTCAATTATAGAGTGTAGAAGGTCTCAGAACTACTCTAAAACTATGGGCTGACGCGTTATTTTATCTAAATACTGACTCATTTATTGTACCATTTTTTTTTATACTATTTCTACGCGACGCGTCACGATGTCCCACACCTATTCTCATTATGTCCAAAACACTTCACTAGTAATTTTAGCTCATTAATGCGGTACATGAATCGTAAGAATTTGAAATAATATTTTGATAAATTATGTGACTCTGAGGAGAATACACATGCTAAATCACGAAAATTGCATGTTTTAAAATAGGGATTGATGGTGATGCAGCAGATTAGATATATACCACAGTATTATTTAACAGTATATTCGTTATTCACTACGACTGTTAGTATCGTCGAAACATGTGGCTATGTTTTGAATTCTAACTTAAATTATTGTGCTTAAATTAAATGGCTCTTTTCCACGATAAATGTTTACGATATTGAGGCTTATAGAAAACTGTACACAAAAATGTGTATCTTATATCAAAGCAGACTTATATAAAAAAGTCGGAATGAAACCTTTATCTCTTCTTAAATTTTTTTTAAAAAATCGATTCTTTCTGGTGTAACGTGTAACGGAGAGTCTGTCGCTAATCTTAGCGGAGATTCGCATAACCGTCTTCAGGTAAGTGAACTAAATGGTGATTTGAGTCGTGTTTTATTTGACCAAGTCTTTATTAATTTTCTTCTCTATTTTCTTAACTTCCTCTATTTGTCTCCCCCTATACCTTTAAGATTTGTACAAGACATTTATACTTTCTTTACATTTTGGCTATGGCGGTTTGGACATGGAATAATAGATAATGATACAATGACAATGCTAAAGCTAGATTACATAATTCTCTTTAACAATTCTTCCCGTCTCTCCTTTATTATCTAATTATTACAGCTGACTCACCATTGTCGCGACGATCGATCACGTGACTGACTTCGCGTTTTATTTCTCCGTTACACTGGTAAACATCTGCTTTCGTAATAACTAAAATTTGACAGAATTATTATTATATTTTTTTTAGTTTGATAAATAATCTTATTTGACTTTAATAGACTCGGATCAAGAAGGCAGAAATCTAAAATGAATAAGAAACTCTCAATTGCCTTGGTTCTTGCTACCTATTCTCCGTAGCAATTGCAACTCCTATAAAGACTATAAAGATGAAAGGTAAATTTCATCCAATTTTTTTTTCATTCTCAACTTTTAATCTAATTTAACATACTGTATATTGTATGTGCATATTTTAACTATAGGAGGTTCGATCCCCTATACTAAATTAACGGGTGTCGATAGTGCTGTTGCTCCATGATATTAATGTATTATTCAACTGATATATTATTTATAATTATCATGTTGCAGTATTTGAGATAAGAATAACTAATATACTGCATTTAATTCATATCTCAATAAAGTCACTTATAATATTTATGAATAATATACATGTGTAATTTAAATAAGTTCATAATTAATTCAAAAAAACATGGAAGATAATTATATAGAAAATGAAATACTCGCTTCTAATGAATTATCTTTTATTGGTGATTTTAACTGACGAAGATCATACCGCAGTAAATCAAAGTTACTTAATAATATACAACTTGCCCCAAACGATTTGGCAAGTCAAATAAGTACAAATTCTTTTTTTTTAAATATAAAAATTTTTAAAAAGTAAAATAAAAATTGTTTCACTTATAAATCGCCGGTGATTTATGCTAGGGGAGTGTACATATTAATTTAAGAAAACACATTTTAATTAACTAATCGACTTATAATTCATATAGTTTAAACTAACAGCGCGTAAGTATATTCTTAATAACATTGGTTTTTTAAATCATAGTTAAGAGAAAATCTTTCTAATTGAATTTCAAATTTACTTACTACATTAATACTTAGCGCGTAAGTTTGTTTTACTATGATTATTTTTTCTTAAAGACTACATTACTAATAAAATCCATAATTTATCTACTATATTAAATACTTAGTGAGTAAGTTTGTTTTACTGTGATTTTTTTTTCTGAAAGAATATTTTACCAATACAATTTAAAATTTGTTTATTTTATGGACCATTGGTTTATTGATAATAATTTTCAATATATTTTTTCCTTTGAAATTTTTTTTTTACTAATAACCATAATGATCAAGATTTTATCAAATCATCAGACTGTAAGTATAGGTTTTATTATATACGTATATTCTCCCGAGAATATTTTTTAATCAATTTAAACTGATAAAATCCAGTAAGTATAATGATTTTATTACACTTGTAAATTCTAATGCGACTCTCTAATCGAATTTATTATTTTATTCATGTATTTCAACAATCGATTTATGATTCATTTACAATTACCGAAGTACTGTATTAAGAGGTGGGTAAGTTTTTTTTATAAAGATTTATTCTAAACCATCAGAAAACATTAGAAATAATATATAGTTGTTTTCTTATTCCTATAATGGATTTTTATTTTATGTATTCATCAGTTTTTTAACTCATCAGGATGTTTTGACATTTCTTCGATGTTTTCGTGACTTGTTTATTCTAATAACATATCAGGCTGCAATCAATTTTAGTAATTACTCAATTTATTTAATTAACCAATAAGATGTGTAAATAAACTTTATTATATTTGTTGGCTCCATAATCGTAATCAAAATAATTTTTTATCGAGAAACCTAAAATTTTACTACTGAAAATAAGCCTTATTATTTTCTTACTATATAGTCTTAAATAAATGGACGGATCAAAAAACAACCAAATAATTAAACAACCAAACATTATAGAAGTAAAAAAAAAATAGTTAGCATTTGCGATAAAATTATTTGAAGATTCTTCAAAGGATTCATGTTACATGTCCAAGGCGTTAAGATGTCAAACAATCTGGAAGTATGGTTACCCAAACCAACCTTGAATTCAGATTTTAATCTTAATATAAAATTGGTCATTATTTTATATCCGACAAGCATACTTAGTTACTGTATAATATATACATTATAACAAAATCTGTAAATAACATGGATATAATATTTCTGTTAGATATATTATAGTTAATTTATTAAAATAACCAGAGCAAATAAGTATATCAATTATATTAGTTTAAACTAATATAACTTTTCTATTGTTTACATTCTATTTTCTTATGATTCAAACATACTGTATAAAAATAAAATGGTGGTTCTTTTTAACTGTTCAAGGAATTTTCTGATTTCTTTCAACTTCTTTAATAAAAATAATTTCTAAAATATCAGGCTTATTAAATCTAAATGTTACATATAATGGAAGTTTATTGGGCTTGACCTTATTTTACAAAATTTAAATTTATTTTAATGAATTATTGCATGACTATATGCTAAATTTAATTTTAAAAATTGAAATATAAA